GAGTTAAATGTTGGTTGCAGATGAAATAGGAAGGGACAGACTGAAGTCAGAGAAGGGGAAAGTATGTGACTAAACAGCCTTTGAAGTCACTGTGAAGAGGTTGCTTATGTTCTGCTCCCTCATCCATATGATTATCAGAAGCGTATGTGCTAGCAGGGTACTTAAATGGTTTTGGACTCCTCTGCTGGAAAGGTCTGAAAGCAGAGCTTTGAAGTTAGTGGGAGGGGGAGAGGCGTGCTGTGAGGTGACAGGGTTGGTAGACAATGGTGGCTAAGGGACTGTGCGTAAAAAGGTCGAGAAGAACAAAGGGTGCCCAGAATATGGGACAGCAGAGAGAGATTTAAATATGATGGAGGGGGAGGAATTATTTACGTCCCATGGAGGATTCAGACAGCATCCTTCAGCTGCAATCCATAAATGAGGCGGAATAGGAGGAAGAGCTGACGTGTTAAGCCACAGAACTGTTGTCCCATGAGAAGGGATAAAAACGTTGTTTAGGTCATTGTAGGTCCTGTAAGCCCGCGGAAAGTGTGTGGCTTTCATGCCGCGCTGCCCAGTGAGGCAGAACGTGCTCCTAAGTCCTCTGCCTCTGACCGTGGCGTGGTGGAAGCGCAGCCCTTCCCCGCGCTGCACGGCCAGGTGCTCTCCAGCTCCGAGCGTTGCTCAGTCCTTTTGAGGTTAGTTATTGGCAAATACTTTCTGGAGAGGGGCGAGGTAAAACAGCAGAGCGGCTCTTCCTTTCTGGAGAGGAGTGTTCATTAAAGGGGCGAGGGTGAAGGCATTTCCCTGGCATTTGTTTCTGGAGTGACTTAGAAACGGTCCTTCTGAGCCTGAGGGAAGTGCTGATGCTCTGGCTTGGAGGAAGGAAGTAATGCAGGCAGCCACTGCTGGCACAAGCACCACCCTGGGACCTTTGCTGTTGAATCTATATGGAGTGGGGAGATAAACTCTTTGACAGTGGGATTGCACGACTATGTGTGAGTAGTATTGTGTGAGCTGGCATTTGGCTCGAGCCACTGTGTTGATGAGGGACATGAAAGGTTTTACGATAGAGTCAAGTGAGGAACAAAACCGTTTAAGTGCTGGGCTCTGATTAAACAGGGAGAGGTTTGTGATGAAAGAACAGGCATCTAGAGGCAGGTGCAGGATGTGTTTTGGTGCTATTTGAGGGTAATGCTGGACCTTGTGGTGACAAATAGGACCTAAGTTTTCAGCAAACAGGCTGATTCTCAACCAGTCTTCTGCTACAGCAATTTGTATCTGTGTTATCTAGAGCCTCCACCTGGAGGATTTGGAGGGACTTGTACTCCTACAAGGGAGCATTAGCCTTGTTTTAGAACCGAAGGAGGAGCTCAGGAGCAGTGGAGGAGAGCACTGGGAGATGGCAGGTAGTCAGCTGTCTGGTGGTGGGCAGAGGCGCCGTTTGAGAAGGTGCTGGGGCAGGGGGGGTGTCTGCGGAGTACAGTGCTTGCTGCAGTGGCCGGTAGCAGTCGGGTGTTTCCGCCCTGCCGTACACTGAGCCATACCTGCCTGCTCATCAAGAGCAGTAGTTTGCAGCCTTTTATCCTGCCTAACAATTTCTCATTTGATTTCTAGGTTGTTTTCCTCCACCTCCCTGAGACCCCTCTTTCTCCTCAGCATGTCCCTTCTTGGCATCCTCTTGCTGGAGAGGTGGAAGCCGAGGTTCCTGTTTGATTTCTCAGGTATGTGATGAGCAGCACTGTAGCTAGTGACACGGTTCTAGTGTTACCAGGTGCTGGGCTGTGGGCACAGTCGGTGCTTTTCTGGCTCTCTCACAGGTCCGTGTAAGCCCTGTCCTTACTGTAACTGCAGGCTTTGGTACTGGTGCTGCCTTTTGCCTGTCTGTGTCAGAGTATGAGGATGTATCCTAATACTCTGGGCATGAAGAGAATTGCTTCCAGTGCTGGGAAGTTCTGGGAGTAGCTCTATTTGAGAAAGACTAAGAGGGCCCAGCTAGTTTGTCAGGGAGGCTGGTGACAGGGATGATGCAGTGTTTCTGTTGTGTCCTTTCTCTCCTGCAAATGTTGTGACAAAAAGATCATTCCAGGTCTGAGCATATGTGGCCAGCTGAGCTGGGGGAAGGAAACGGGGGGGTTGAAGTGTATTGGTTTTAGTTTAGCATGGTCTTATGCCCTGAAAGAGGCAGAGGAGATAAAAGCCACTTCTCCTTGCGGCAGGTAGCAGAGTGGATGATGGGGTCTGACAGCCGGGACAGTTAGTGTATTGTACCTGTGCCGAACAGCATCTGGTCTCCAGCTAATCAGCGAATCTGGTCACCTGGCTTATCTTTTCCATTTATTGAAGGGTCTTTGCCAACATTAGACACAAAAGCAACAAGAGGAATAGCCTCATGATGATGATAGGTGTGGATTGGCTGTGTCTGCTTTGAGTGCCTCCTTCACTGGAATTTATTAAACGGCTGGACCCAGACCTGCCTGCTGCATCTACTACTGCTGTTCAAAGGCAGCTTGGGGCCCTCCATCCCTGCCCCCCTACTCTAGGGAGGGTTTCTGAATGAAAGCCCCTCTATATGTGTGTCTGTAAGGTGCCCTTTATTTGACCTAAAAGGGTACTGACTTAAAGGGTGCTTTCACAGAAGTCCTGATAAGATTAGATATGTTTCAGCTGTAGTCTTGAAACTGTTTGCTTTGTGTGGTTCAGGTAACTAGGCAGCCAAACTGAACTGGCCAATTTAATTTCCTGCTTATTCACATTGGATTTTTAAGGGAATAGTTTAAAGCCAACCCAAAACATCTCACTTGAAACATGTCCAGAAATGCAAAAGCCTGATGTCCAATATAGAATGGTGTCATTGAGGCAGATGGGGGTAGAATCACTCCAGCAAGTACCAGGCCTGTAAAAGTTGTGTTATCACAGAAGAAATAGGAAATCCGTACTGAAATAAATTTATATGATGCAGAGCAGTGAGGAATAAAACCAAAAAAAATTCCAAAAAACCCAAAACAACACACCAGCAGTTAGGCTAATCCTGTGTCATCGTCTCTGCAAGGAGTCAGTGCACAGCTTACTGAGCTGCTCCTGAGTGGTGTTCTTCCCCATCTTTCACTCCTTGCTGCTTTTCTGCTGCTGACAGCAAAGAACAGGGACACCTTTCTGATGTACCTGGTTAGGTCACGGCCCTGATTTCGACATGGTCCACTGGACCGTGTTTCCTCAGCCACCGCAAGGAAGGAGCAGTGCTCTGCCTTCCTAAGGGGCCTCCTGTTGAACTGGCACCGCTGAATACTTAGGGGTTCTTGTGTGGCTCTCACTTCCCGCTGAAGCAGAGCTGCAGCTTTGTGGCTTTCCTCCTCAGTGCTTCCTGTAAGCCTTTCCAGGAGCTTTTGGAAGTAGGTCAGTACCACACCTTCGAGAGTCAGCGCGTATATACACAAACCTCAGCTTGTGGCAGTTCTGTGTGTCTCGGGTGACTGCTTGTAACATCACTTCTGAAGGAATGCTAAAACCTCAGCATGTGTTTTGCAGTTACTCACACACTGTGATCAGGGACGTACTAACAGCAGCGAGATGCACAGCCTTTTTAAGTCCTGTCAGAAGGGACTGCGTATTGTCAGCTCCCACGCAGGGTATTTTCTCAACGTGTAACCACCCCTACGTGGAGTTCCACTTAAATATTGTTTAAAGACTTAGGAAGCACCTCCACTTTTCTCCTGAAATGAGTGCCAAGTAGGGATCTTTTCTGTACTGTCGTTCAGCAGTGTTTTGGTCAGCGTAGGAGAGTGCAGCGTGGGAGAGCTTTAGCAAAGCCTGCGTTGCAATTGAACGCTGGTGCTCCTTAAAAAGGGCCCCTGCTTTCTAGCTAAAGTTTACACACAGGTGAAGAATGCCTCTTGAGGGAGTGTTGAAAACCTCTAAGAGTCAAGGAATCCATCAGCGATAATTTGTCAGTACCAACACGTAACCTAAACTCTTGGGCAGCTGACTGGTCTCCCAGAAGAGTCTGGTGTACGTCAAGTGGTTTGTATTAATCCACAATCTGGTGTGAAATGCCAGCAGCAAGATTTCAGCTGGTTATTGATGATGCGAGGCCAACTGTGGGCGTCCTGCTTCCTGGCCTCTTTGTACCAGTGCTAGACAGTATTGCAGTACAGGTTGGAGTTAAGCCTTACCTCGGTGAACATGTCCTGTTAGACATGCTCTAGTTTTTTTTGTGGTTGGGCTATTCTTCCAACTGATGTAAGGCTCCAGTGCTTTGGGATGGACAGAAGGCAGACTACTCTACTACAGGAAACAAGATACTGTTGATTTTAAAGAGAGATTGTGTTTTGCCAGATAGAAATCACGTGAACACTCTGCAGCCTGCTGAAACGTTCTGCAGCTCCCCAGAGTGTCTCTGAAACCTTCAGAAGCAACTGAGGAGAATTGTTTCACTCCCTCTGCTGGCATATTTTGGATGGTTTGGATTACTGCAGCCCGTCAAGAGAGGAGTGGGGTTCCTGTGCCCTCCCGTGTACTGGGTTGCTGGCACATCTGTCCCTCCGAGTACGGCGAGCATCCCAGCACCTCATTTGATAGCTGATAACGACCAGTATAGCCAGCCATCACAGACAGCCAGTGCCAAATGTAATTTATTTGGTGATTAAGTGGAGGTAATAGATGAGGCTTTGAGATATAGCTGGATTTCTGCAAGCTGCGATTAAGCAGCTTTAGATTCCTGAGCACAATAACAAAATACAGCCATGGCGGTCGTGCGAGAGAAGCAGCAGCCCCGGAGGGGTGGAGCTGAGCCCGCAACACTCCCTTCGCACCCGAGCTCCCTCTGTGAGCAGGGCTTGCCCGCTGCACCCAGCAGTCGTGGCCAGGGGAGCGGGTGGGCAGCCGGCTCTGAAAGCAGTCGACTCCTCTTGTCAGGCCCGATTACTGGAAATCTGGGTCACGCTCTCAAAGAATCGCCTCCTCCCCTGGGCGGCTGGCCTCCCGCTCCACTGCGCCCAGCCGGCTGGTGCAGTGCCTGCAGTGGTAGGAGGAGTCTGACATACTTGGCCCAACGTCCTGGGCCTTGGGAGAACGGAGGCAAGGCTGCTACAAGCGGTTGCTCTCTTCTGCGGCTCGAACGGGAGTCTGAAGTCTCGCTGAGTGTTGGCAGTGACGGATGTTCACCTCTTCTGGGTGTTTCCCTGGGGGAGTCGTTGCCGCTGTTGGGCTTTGCATCTGGCTGATGACTCCAGGGAGGATTCAAACCCCATTTTGCTTATGTTGCATTTTGAAGCCCGTTTCCAACAAGTAGCCTGGACTTTGAACATAAACTTCCTACCTTTATTTTAGTCCTGTTTGTGTGGTGACGTGCAGTGTGGGGGATAGGGTCCCACCGGTTTTTAGAACCTCTTGGATGGCCTGAACCAAGTTTGCAGTTGGCCAGACAGCATCAAAGGTATATCTATCCCTACCAGCTTTAGGACATTAGGCTGACAGGTAGAGGAGGGTAAACCTCAAGGGACCTTTACAGCATGATCATTGCGTGTTAAACACAGGAGACTTATAAAGACTGTGTTGCTGCAAGAGCTTTGGTTGAGGCCTGCATGTCCTCAGACACTAGTCAGCTAGGCAGGAGGCCCAAATCCATGGACAGCCAGGCTCATGAGTTCCAGTTGTCATAGAAATATTTGGCTTTTTTTTTCCTGTATATCTAAAAGCAGAGCAGAGTCATATGTGACTTCTGCCATTGAAACACTGCTCCTCCCTTCAGTACTGCGTGGAGTAAGTCCCTGTGTGATCATCCCTGGGTTGGGTGCAGAGAGGAATAGGAGAAGCTTTCCCTTGCCCTTGTCCAGACTGGCAAACCTTTAGTAGTATAGTTATATCTGTGCCTGGCACAAAGGGCTGTCAGGGGACATAAAAGAGCCCTAAAATTAGATAGTTATACACAAGGCTGTTATTTGTTACCTAATTCCCTGGGAAAGGATAGAGACAGCAGGGAGATCTCTGGCATTTATACACAGCATCCTGCCAGGGACTGTGGTCTGGGCTGGTCAGTGGGAAATGCAGCTCAGACCTGCTAGTGCCATGTTGAGCTCTGAGGTGGGAGCTGAAGCTTTGCCCAGCTCAGGGACGGTGCTGGCAGCCCTCTGTGAATGACAAGGGCTAGGAGCTGCCCCGGGGATGGCACTGCCCAGAGGTGTGGGACACTGGGGCAAGCTATACAGTCCCTGCAGCGGAGAGCCCACGTGCTAGCGGCAGGGTGCACCTCAGATATGGGTGTCACGCCACGTGTTTGTCAACACGGGTTGCAAGGTGTGCTGGGGCACCCTGAGACTGCTGCTCTGGCTGCTCCGAGCCTCCAGGCATGCTTCACTGAAGCCTGCACAGCTCAGACTCCAAGCCAGTGAGTCCTGCTTGCGTGAGAGCATGAAGAAGGTCCCTGGGGTGCATCCCTAGCTAAGGATGATACATCTCCAGCTCTGCTCTGTTCAAGTGGTAAAAATGTCGGGTTGTGTTTTTCACTTGGCTGACTAATCTGCTCTGTTCTCTCTACAGCACAGCCATCGGAGGAGCTGGGAGGGGAGAGGTAAGCTCACTGATGTGTTCCTTGGTGAGAGGGGAGAGTGGGGAAGCTTTAATTTAGTGTGGTAATCTCACCTGCCCTTTTTGCTGTTGTCAATAGACTGCATGGCTCCTGCTGCAAAACATTGCTAGCAGTTTCTCCTGCACTGGGAGCTGCTTATCAGCTCAGGAGCCACAGTTTGAGACTCTGGGGAAAGCTGCTTTCGGTACCCATAAAGCACAAGTGCTTCTGATGTTAGGAACTCTTGAGTTTCTTCCCTGGATCTGTCATGGACTGTTTTAAGAATCCTCCAGAGAGAAGGGAATCCCTGAGACTGACTTTCGCAGGCCACACATGCTGTCTGTGGTGGCGTCACCTGTATCCTGTGGTTGGCCATGGTCATAGGTCTGAGCACCACGCTCTGGCCACCTCGGATTTGGTGCCAGCGGCAGCCACGTAACTAGTTCCACCTCCAGTGCTTCTGTCTGCGTGGCTTTGAGTAAACTGCTCTGCATCTTGGTCCTGTGGCATGGGGATGCTGTGGCATGGTGTCTGCTGCTGCTGCTTGGCTCAGGTGTCTCTCGGCTCTCTCCCTGATTAAAGGAAAAAAATATCTCCGAATCAAGCATCTTCCACAGTTGGGTTGAAGATGCAGTCAGTATTGTCAAGCCTTTGGTAGGGATCTCTGCTTCCCAGTGCAGGTGTTGTGTCCTGTCCCCCCGATCCTGTCCCCAACAAAACAGACCTTGTTCAAAGATTGTCTTCTTGCTCTTGTCTGTCTCCAGTGAGGGGGTGACTTCAGGGGCACAACCTCATCTGCTCAGTGTCCCTGAGCTGTGCCACTGTCTGGCAGAGAGCTGGGTCACCTTCAGGCTGTACCTGCAGGAACTGCTACAGTACAAGAGGCAAAATCCTGCCAAGGTAAGCTGGAGATACCTACTCTTCTGTGCAGGGGCTTTTCTTTCCATTACTAGTGGCCTAGGAGACTGAAGAATGTAAAATCAGTATTTTTGCAATTGCTGTCCCTGTTTAACGTTTACCGTTCATTCCTTTCAGACTCTATGCCATGGGAAGCTTAAATAATGAGTAATTGGCTTCCATTATTTGTAAACTGGATCTGAACTTCACCCCTTCTGTGAATGGCTAGCTCTACTTAGTTTTATTTCTTAGTGTGCAAAGGAAGCTCTTAGGGAGTGGGGAGAAAAAAGGGGAACCTACAGTCTCTGCCCCTTTCACAGGCTCCATTCTTAAGCTGGTCCTACCTATTTTGCTAACCAAGATTGTAGCTAGCCAAGTCCAAATGCAGCGGTGTTTCTGAGTGCATGGAAACTTGTCATTAACCGTGTTCTGATGGCTGTGATGTGTGTTGTTTGGAAAGGGTCTGTAGACAGGAGTTGCCTTAGCATCACAAAAGTAGGACAGACCAGCCACTGGGATTGTATCAGGCTTGTTGGGGTCCACTGTGCCAAGAGGAGTGGGTTTCTATCACTGCTGATTACTCCTGTTAAAACACTCTCCCAGCTACAGGGAGTAGGAGACCAGGACCAAGACACCCATAAAGCATGAATTCATTGGGAGCAAAGCCCTTAGAGGGCCTTAGCTTTTGTATACCCTTTCCATTACAAATGAAACTCTTCATTGCTGGATTTAGGTGACACCTGAACCTGTGCCCTGGCTTGCAGGGCATCTGTTCTCACTTCCCCCCCTCCCCAGGACAATGCAGGACAAGCCATCAGGGCTGCACCGTTATACTTGCACTTTTTCCAGAGGAGGAAGGTTCTGGTCTGGTGGGAGCATGGGTTCTGCTAATGCTTCTGCCAGCTGGTTTGTGGCGTAGCAGTGGCACAGCATCCGGTGACTCCGTAACAGCTTTGTGTCTCTGTCAGGACAGTACTGTCTTCTCTTACAGTGCTGAGCTCTGCAGGAGAGATGTACTCCAAAATGGCAATTTGCGATATCCCATCCTAGCCTCAGGGAACATAATTTACTCCATAAAGAACTGTCCAGTAAAGGTTTGGTTCGTTTTATTGGGATGTTGGGTTACCTTGGTCTTCCTGCGCTTGAACTTCTAATGCTTACAGCTTAACCCAACCAAGCTGAGTTGTGATTGTCAGCATCTGAATGTAGTCAGTGCAAAGCTGGTGTACTGACTTTGTTAGGAGCATCCCTCATTTTACTCTAACTGGGTTTCCTGCGTGGATGTATCTCTGCCTCTTGTCACTTCTATTTGTTCCTCTCTCTTCCTTCAGTTCTGCATGAGTGTCTGTTCAGGCTGCCTGATTCTGGCTGTAGTTGGACACTATGTTCCAGGCATAATGATCTCCTACATCATTTGTGAGTATAACCAGCTCTCTTGTCTGACTTAAGCTGAAACATGACCTAACTGTGCTGTTGATACGCTGGTACAAGCATATTTGTGGTTTTCTCGAGGGGATCTGTGCTAGAAGATCAATCAATATAGGCAACGTGCTCTGGGAAGTCTCTTGCTTTAAGTGCGTGCATGCAGTACAAGCACGGAGTCAGGAGAGGGAGCCGTCGCTAAAACGTTGCTTTCCTCTTCTACCCACGGCTGGGGCTGTGCTGGTGGGCTCAAGCTGCAGTCTCTCCGTTCCTCGAGTGGGCAAATCCATATCAAGAGTTGTTAAAGAAGCTGCATGTTTAGTAAATAAGACCTTTTTCACTGCATCGTGAGTCCCTGCTAACTCTGAAGACTGTTCAGGTGGTCTGCTGCTAGTGCGTCTACGTATGAGCTCTGTGCTGCTACCCTTATAAAAGTTGTGGTGATTGTTAGTTTTAATAAACTCGTTTCAGGGCCTCTATTGCATGTTGGGGCTGGGATGCAGTGGCTGAAGAGGAGGGCTTACACTTCATCTTAACATAAATCTGCATTCTAACAGAGATCTGTTAGGAAAACGTGGTTAATCAAGCAGCTTTGGAATGAGTAAGAGCAGCCATGGATGAGGATTTTAGGCAGTGTCAGATGGGAAAGCACCTGTGATTCAACTGCGTTTCCCTTCATGCAGAGTTTCTTGCTGACGCCCCGTGAAGGGCCGGGCTGTGCTTGGCCTGTCCCTCACGTTCCCCACGTCCTGTGTCCGCAGTGCTCAGCATTCTGCTCTGGCCTCTGGTGGTCTACCACGAGCTGATCCAGAGGATGTACACGCGTTTGGAGCCTGTCCTGATGAAACTGGACTACAGCATGAAGGCAGAGACGCTGCACCACAAGCATGAGAAGAAGAGTAAGGACCCACCTCCTCTCTTAACTTTTTCTGGTGCCCTACTCCCAGGGCGGAGCCCTAGCGGAGGGACAACGGGACAGCACGGCTGGCAGCGCTGGAAAGCTGCAGCAGCACAGGGGGAAACAGACTGAAACTGGAGGGTTATGGAGAGAGCAGCTGGGCAGGTGATCCTGGGAATAGCAAATGAGAGCAACAGATTACGGTTGTCTCTGGAACCTTGGGCTTCTGGGAAACCTGTGCAGTTTCACAGGGCGGTAGAAGTAGTGGGAAAGTGATGAATAAAAGCGTAACATTCCTTCAGTCTCATGGGAAAGGCTTTCTTCTCTTTTTCATAGAGCGACAAGGGAAGAGTGAGCCTGCAGCAGGTGATGAGCCAACAGCGGAGACGGAGAGTGAGAGCGAGGCAGAGCTATCGGGCTTCTCGCCAGTGGTAAGAGCACAAAGAGCTGAGCAGGAACTAGTCCCTCCTCTCTGGTCCGTGGCAGCAGCACGAGAGCCAAGGGGTGGTCTGAGTCCAGCTGCATTGATAACGACCAGCAGAGTAACAAGTCACTTCTTTGCAGAATCCCAAGGGGAGAAGGGTATTTGTTTGATGAAGGTCATTGCCTCCCATCCTGGGTAGTGAGAATTCGGTGGCACAGGGCTGGTGATGCAGTGGCAGGACAGGGCGAGCCGTGCTCCAGCCTCCTCCTGACCTGCAGAATTGCTCTGATGGTTACACTTCATGCTCAGAGAATGTGAGTGTCTCCTAAAGCAATCAGCTCTCCTGGGGTAATGTGCAGAGGCTCCTCACTGCTGGAAAAGGGAGATGAGCAGCACTAGTGTCTCTGACTGAGTTCCCCGCTCTCAGTCAGACTGGGTGGGACCTTCCCATATGTGCACCGCAGAAATGGACCAAGTGTCTTCCTTTACAGGAGCTCTGGGCATGTAGCTGGGCTGCGAGCTGGGAGGCTTCGGCTTCCAAAGGAGTGCAAATACTTAGAACTGCTGCCACTTTTAGAAGGCTTCATTGGGCCCAGTGTGAATGCAAAAGGGAAGGAGTGTTCTGCTCCTTGGTGATCCCAGGAGAGGAAAGAGGATCAAAGCTGCCTGAGACTCCTACAGGCTGATCCCGTCTTGTGCTGGCTCTTTCGGGTTCTTCAGTGGAGGCAGGCAGAGCTTCAGGCAGTGAATCATAGCAGGAAAGCCAGTGAGCTGAGGCTGTCCCTCCCTGGCAGTGCAATGAGCACTCTGCGCAGCCCCCTCCTGCTTTCATACTATCCCTGTGCAGAGTCTCTCCAGCAGAGGAGTTCTTGCCTGGAAGCCTTGCTTTGTGCAGAGGTGTGTGCAGGCAGACACCCAGGAATTTGTCCCTGTGCCTTCATCCCATGCAGGTGGATGTGAAAAAGACTGCCCTGGCACTGTCAATCACAGATTCCGAGCTCTCTGATGAGGAGGCTTCCATCCTGGAGAGCGGGGGCTTTTCTGTCTCAAGGGCTACCACCCCACAGCTGACGGACGTTTCTGAAGGTACGTGATGGGACACTTCGCTGCCTTCCTGACCCTGAGTGTTTTGTCCCGGAACAAGCGTGCATCCAAACCCAGGGAGGGAGCCCAGCAATTTGCGGGAGGAAGAGCATTGAAAGGAGGAAAGAGTAGTAGCAGCGCAGCGTGCCCTGGCTTCATTGTGAGCTGGTCCTGAGTGGGCGTCTGCCTCTGATTACTGCCCCGCCAGGCAGTGCTCTCTTATGACTCCGGCAAGGGAGGAAGGCCATCCGCAAAGTCCTGCCGAAATAATTGTGTGGTGTAGACACACGGCCCTACGGCTGGGTGAAACAGGTCAGCCAGCCCACCCTGTCAGCCTTACGAGCTCAAAGAAAGACTGGTCAGTGGTGAGGAGCCCGAAGGTAACCCCTCGGATGTGGTCACTCACCTGTCTGGGGAGGAAGAGGCAGGTGACGTGCTGTGAGCACTGTTTCCCTGACCCTGTGGGTTTTAGTGGAGGGCTCTGGATGCAGAGAGCATGAGCTGGAGAAGGAAATCCCTGAGCCCAGCGTGCGTAGAACGGGATGAGAAAAGGGACACTCCACGTGAGTCGTGCCACCGGGAGAAGGGAGTAACTGCAGACGCCTTCCTGCTGTGCTCCCAGCGGGTGCCGAGAAGCGAGCCCTGGTGTGTCAGCCGGGGGGGAGGTGGGTGGGGGAGGTGTCAGTGCCCTGGGTCGAGGTGAGGGGACCTGCGCCTTAACGCTGGTGCCTTTCAGACCTGGACCAGCAGAGCCTGCACAGCGAGCCAGAGGAGTCGTTTTCCAAGGACCTGGCGGAGTTTCCCTCGGTGGAAGAATATCATTCCAGAGACCTGGGACCACAGAGCGATGAAGACGCGTTCGGTGTGCCTCTGGGTCCTGAGCTTGCCCATGCTGCCCGTGAGCTGGACTCGGCAGAGAAGGAGGCCGCGGACTCTGAGCTCTCCATCCTTCGCCTGGCGTCTCCTCTCCATTTTGTAAATACGCACTTCAACGGGAGCGGGCAAGCGGCGGGAGGCAACGCAGAGCCACAGACTGTCCCTGCCCCGGGCCTGGGCATCTGCATTGACACACTGAGCGAGGAGATCGTCACCACTGCCATTACCACGGCGGTGCAGAACACCCTCTCTGCCCTGCTGCGGTCCTCGGAGGCCAGCGAGGGGCCGTCCCTCTCCGAGTTCCTCCCCACTGAGCCCGAAGAGAAACTGAGCTTCCAAGCACAGCTGTCAGAGAGCGAAGCGGTGGAGACAGAGACAGCAGCTTCACCGGAGGATGAGGAGGAAGCAGATGACTTTGAGCTACTGGATCAGGGGGAGCTGGAGCAAATGGATGTCGAGCTGGGGCTCGGAGAGGAGCAGGAGGCACGAGAGTCTCCTGCCGCTCCGGCTCCCCCCTCTCCCACGCTCGCTGAGCTGCCAAAGCAAGGAGATGAGGAGGAGGCAGTGATGACAGCGGCATCTATGTCTTAGGTCTCCTTCACGCTCCCCCTTTTCCTCCGTCGTCACTGGAAAGAAGGAAGAACTGGCATGGTTGAACGTGCAGTGGGCTTTTAGATGTTTGTGTTGACCGGGGTGGCAACGCGTCCGTGTTAGTGTGCTGTGTCTGGAGTAACGAGTCCTCTCCATCCTTCTAGAGCCCGGCCTGGGCTGGCTG